CAGTATTTAGAATTTGAGGAAAAATCCCTTCCTGAAATGAAAGGTTTACTAGAAATGTTAATTATTTATATATGTTATAAAATACATGTAATAAGTCAATCTATATTTTCAGATTAGGAATCAGCAACTTCTTTTACTGCGCCACCCTTCTCATCTTCCCCCATTTGTCCCATTTCTCTTGCTACACAATAATGGACCCCTTCCTTTCTTCTTTTTTTATTCGTTCTGTTGATATATCTTCATTTCTTCGCTCGTATACTCTTCCTCTTTCCTTCTCTAGCTTGTGCATCGGAATACACCTGGTGGGAACTTCCAGCGTCTTGGCAGAGACTGTTCTATATACAGATGCCACCCTTAATATACTTTTCCTATCTGTTGGGTGTGCTGCCTTATTTAAACGTCTTTGTTAAAACTGCAGTCTATGCAGGCGGCACGTAGGCCTAGAAGATGATCGATTACACAACAGAGTAAAGGGCCCTCCTCTCAGTTGTGGGCCCTTTGATATTGGCAATCATCCCCCCAACGTATTGAATTTCTTTGTTGCTTTTGTTGCAACAAAGCAACAAGCTTCGGTCTTACCCACAACTAGTTCTAGGCCATGTATACTCATCCATACCTCGACTTAGTCGCATACACGCTGTTCACCGAAGGTAAGGTCCTCTCCATTCCGGTCCCACGATTAGCGTAGCGAGTTGGCAATTGCGAAAGAAGTTACCTCTTCTCTGTATTGTTGGCTCACTACCCCGTCATATACAAGGTTCCACAGCTTGGATCCTAGAACCCTGTAGCATTCTAATCATCAACCACTTCTTTTTCTACTACAATTTTTGATTCTGACAGATTGTCTGAGACCAAATTTGTTAGGTACCTCGGACACCTTCTCTTCCGTGAAGCTTTCATTACTTATTTTCATTTTAATGTGTTGAAAGCATTGCGGACGTCAAAAAACTGTAAGATCGCACACCCCTGGTTAACCCCCATTTCACACAAATTCCAGAAGAGACTTTCATCACCGTATCCACGTGCTCCTGTTTTTCTGATTCCATACTGCCTGGTTGACAGCCCATCTAACTTGTCAATGACTGTGTCGATTCGATCTTTTAGAAGCCTCTTGTACAATGTACCTATGCACGACATAAGACAAACAGGCCGATAACTTTCTTCTTCCTTTGGGAGTAGCAGGAGCATCGAGATCTTTTAATTTGCCGAAAATTGCTAAGTTTTAAGCAGTGCATTTATGCGTTTTTTAGGATACTCAACGCTTTATTGATTTTGCCTAAGATAAAAGGTACAGATTGTTCAGCTTCGACGTCTGCACTCAATGCCAATGGCTGGGTGGAAACAGTTCTCGCATAACCAAAATCTTGTTGCCAGTTGGCTGCAGCATTTTTTCTAGTAGAAAATAATAATAACTAAGGAAAGAATCGAATTAAAAATAAAAACTCTACTAGTATATTGGAAGCAGTATGGGTCCAACCACAATAACTAAAGAACAAAGCTATCGAAAACGTAATCAATAGCTCTGGCTCCTGACTACTAAATACTGGCTTTAGAACACATTTAATTTTTTTTCTAGAAGATTTTCTTCTCTAGATCTCAGCTTTTATGGCCCCACAACAGTTGCTTTACTAATTTGGAAAACCTTCCATGACCGTTATGACAGCAATCTTTTCAATCAATGCTTATTTAAAAACAAGCCGATCCTTACACTTTAACTCCTGGGCCTATTTATCTGCATAAGTTGTCACAGCCTGGCCACTTTTTTTTTCATGTTCTCTAATAAAATGCTCTATATGTATGTGTTAATTCATATAATGACATTTTTTTTATTTAAAAAGGGCTTTGTAGGGTGTGTTTATTTTTGATACACGCAGTTCATGTAGACGACTTTTCATAATGTCATTACCCATAGCCTAGATGTATTGAAATTGATACACATTATTTATGAAACTTTATTACGAAAAACATAAGCAAACATCTTAACAAATTATTTTAAATATACATTATGTGTTTTAAAAAAAAATGTTACAAATAAATTTTTTTTCTCTACATTCAGTGCCAGTACACCTAGTGTTGCACTGTTTGGAATTCTTAGATGCATGCGCGCGACCAAAGGATTTTGCCTGTGTGCTGTAACATATAACACATCGTCCTCTTTTGTCATATTCTTCCAGCCTATGGTGTGTTTGTTGAGGGTTTGTAACATTATTGTCTTTGCAAATGGCAGTCACTAATTCTTCGCGAAATTGTGTTACATCCATTTTTGTGTTCAAAGCTTTGTTATATAGGATTAAAGCATTCACTATGGCTATATTTGTCAGTAACTCTATTCCCACTTTCCGATACAATTTTATAGAACGTCTGATGATATTACTGTAGGAAGCTTTTTGATCAGAGACGTCAATGTAAGATTTAACAGAATTATATTTTACTATTGTAGACGGTTTTCTTTTTATTCCTGATTTTGTACGAACGTCGACCATTTCTGGACAAGATTTTGTAGTCAAAAATGTTACCTCTCTTTTGTCGATCCATTTTCCTACAATAACTTTTGTGTTGCTCTGTAGGGCCATCATATCTCCTTTATTTAGCTTTGCTTCAAACACCGACTTAGGATTGTATTTCCTATTTTTACGAAGTGTTCCAACTAGATGAATATTGTTATCATTTAGTTCGTGTGCCAAACTGACACTAGTATAAAAATTGTCCGTAACCAAAGTTCTTCCTGAGTGTAGAAATGGTTGCATTAATTCCATGACCACTAGGGATGCTAGTGATTGTTCCTTTGGTCTATTTTGCTTTCCGCCATAAATTTTTGCGTGATATGTGTAGCCGCCTTTTCCGCAGAGTTTGACAACTTTTACGCCATATTTATTACGTTTGCCAGGTATGTACTGTAAAAAATGACAGACGTCCTCTAAAGGGGATCATCGATTTATCAATGCAAACGTATTTGCCTGGTATCAAAGCAGATTGAAAACTTCTATTGAACGCCTGCAATAATGGTTCAACTTTGAACAATCTGCTTCCTTCAGGACAAGTTTCATTATCTGAAAAATGAAAGCAAGCAAGAAGAGCCTCAAATCTACACCTCGACATGTTTGTCGTCTTGTATATTGAGCAATGATGGATAAAATTAGTGCTCCAGTAATCTCGTAGTCGTGGTTTTGTATTCAAACCCATCCATATTAAAATTCCCAAAAATTTTAATATTTCTTCTCTGTTAGTATCATTCCAGTTAGTGAGATATGAATTTGTCGTAACGTTTTCACGATTTATAGCATCAATAATTTTTTGTTCAGCATATCGATTTGTTTCCTTCACTAAAATATCGAGTATTTCGTCTGTTAGGAGCAGTCTATAAAACGTTAAAGGTGTATCATTTTCCCTACTTTCTACAACTGTACCAAAAGAAGTATTTTCATGTATAACGTTAAATGTATTCAAATTTCCATCAACATTGTTCCATATAACATTTGCCTGTAAATTCCCTATACGAGGATTTACCATATCTATATTGTTTACATCTTCAATTTCAGATTCACTTTCGCTTATTTGCAAATTAAACTGTTCATGTTGAATTCTTGGTTGACTTGTAACATTATCATCCCAAAATAATTCAAAATTAGATAACTTGCCTTAAGTGTTTCCATTTTCTGCCGTTTTGTTTGTGGTTCATAATCTGAATCTGAAGAGTATTCAAGGGTATCAGAACTATCAGTGTATAATGGATCGACATCTGAATCATCAAATTCACAATCACTTATTTCGCTAAGATTTTCAGCCAGATGCTCAAGTTCATGTAAAGAAAGGTTTCTCTTGTTATTTTTAGACATTGTACATAAACAAACCCGACTACAATGAAGGTCTAACAGTGACTGGTATGGTGGTATGCCACTATTGCAACTCGACAATTTCGTGTCTCCAAATTTTATCTACAATGTTGCCAATTTTAATATGCTAGGATTACCGAACTAACATTGAAAATTGGTTACCACAGCCTAAAGGAATGATAATACACGTATAAATACACTACAACTGCGTTCGGACCACATACACAGTCGCTTGAATGCGTTCTACTCTTGTGTATCAAATTCATACACACAGGCTCAGAGAGAGTACCTATTGTGTATTATGTATGATACACATAGGAGTCAAAGTGTTAACTACGACCCGTGTTTGATAAAATGGCATCCCTGTTCCACAAACATTATTCTCCGTTTGAAAACCTTATTATTGAGAAAAGTTTAGTTCGTTTCAAGGGACGTCGACGATTTAAACAATATATTAAATCAAAATGCCATCGTTTTGGGATAAAACTTTTCCTATTATATAACTTTGAAACGGGATACGTAATTGTTTACCTTGGCGAAGCTACTGCAATAGAACAGTTTTAAGATCTTGGAATATCTGCATCAGATCAATCAAATGAAACTCACACTGTATAAACAAAAAGACTAAAATGTTTTATTTCACTTAAAATGTTTATTTCAATTTTTAGTAAACATATTGTTGTTATTAACATTTTACCAACAATATTATCAAAGAGCATTTAAATAATGTCTGATTACGTAGGATATTTCTTATTTTACTACTGTATACAACAAACTAAACATTTATTGTTTTCGATGACACCCACAAAATTTATGTATTATTTTATTGTCGTTCATAATCATATCTTTCGTAACACTTTCCCGCGAAGAATTTCCAAATTTACAATTCTTTTCAAACGAGATATTTGTCCACTGCCGAAATTTAAATTTATTAACAATTTACTTAATCCCCACAGAATAGCTAAATTAAGATAATGAGCTAATTCGTAGGATTTTAAAAACTTTTTACTCTCTTTATGATACGAGGACAAATGAAGTGAATATTTGAATAACGTTGTACAGTAAAGGGCAAAACTATGGAATAATTCATTATTTCGTGACTGGGATGAAGACACATCCTGAAACGGTCGACATTCATTTTATTTTTTTATTTATTATCCCGGTTTTTTATAGCGTTCTCCGTCTTCTGGTTCCCAGTTTCCAGCTACGTCGGTCATTCCATTCGCCAGGGTGAAGGTTTCTTTCCGACATTGCCTTCTGAATGCCGCCCAGCCAGGATTGTTTTTGCCTTCCTCTCTTCCTTCTTTCCCTTGGCGTCCATTTTAAAATTTGGTTTGGCAGCCTGTCGTCGTCCATTCTTTCTACATGACCATACCAGATTAGTTGTCTCCTTTGAATTTCGTCAATGATGGTTGACTTGACTCCCATTATATTTCTGATATGGTCATTTTGTATTCTATCAAGCCTTGATTTTCTAGCTGATCTTCTCCAGAAGTCCATTTCCAATGCAAGTAGGCGTCGCTCAAGGGATTTAGTAAGTTGCCATGTTTCGCATCCATAGAGCACTATACTTTAAAAGATGGAGTTAAAGAGGAGATGCTTTCTTTGATTTATTAGTTCTCTTGACCATAGCATCGGGTTTAGGCATCCAATCACCCTTTTTCCTTTCACGATTCTTTGCTCTATCTCTTTTTCGGTGCGCCCACTCTTGTTGATTGTTGTTCCCAAATATATATATATATATATATTTCTCACAGTTCTTGATTGTTTCATGTTCGTTGACCATTAGATCTTCTACTTCATTCCCGATGCGTAAGTATTGCGTTTTGTTTCTATTTACAGAGAGGCCCCATTCTTCATATGTTTTAAACAACCATCTCGTCATGAATTCTAAATCTTCCTTGTCTGTTGCCACTACTACTTGGTCGTCCGCAAAATGTAGAATGTATAATGTTGTATCGTCATCAAGTCTGAACATTCTGAACAGGATCTTCTCTAGTGTTTTAGTGCTTCATTTAAATAGATCTTAAATAGTATTGGAGAGAGGCAGCATCCTTGTTGTAAGCCTTTTGTTATTGGAAATTCTTCGATATTCATTTTAGGGTGGTAAATCGTCAAACGAGTCGTAGGAACCTCAATGGAAATCCAAATTAACTTTGATGGTACACAAGGCAAATATCGAACACAGTAATTAATCAAATCTTGCATAAGTACTTTCGATCACAAAATCATCCTCAGGGGCATCTGAAATAAGCCAAGAAACGTTTTTTTAAAAAAGGAAAATTAATTCACTTGGATAAAAACTCCAAGTTTATAGTTAAAAAAAAGTTTTTTATGTGATTAACGTTTATAGACTTACTTCGTCAGTTGTGGCCTATCCAGCAGTAACAGAATGTCATAAATGTAAATTGGGACATAACAAATGCACTAAACAAAGACAAACAAACACTTTAAAATTTAAAAATTGGAGAAGCTACATTTTATATAGAAGCCGGAGACAGAATGGCTCCCAGCTTGGCGGAGGCGGAAATATTGAGATGACATGTGACAAATGACACCTTGTGAAGGGTAGTTACAATAGATAAGTGATCTGCGCCTTTCAAGATTCTATGAAACTAAGTATTGACCAAAGGTCCAACTGACACCACTATAGGAAATCAACTGAAGAAATATAAAATTATATCTAATATTTTTATGTAGATTGAATAATCCAGATCTCACACTCAAACCTGTCTACAATAATTAGGATGTTAGTTTGAGAGCAATTGAAGTTGACATAAAGTATGAATGTAAGAAATAGACTAAACAATATATTGGACAGTGGATAGTTGACTACAGTAAAATGGTCCACTAAGCGCTATTAGTACTGTAAAAAGAAAATCTGAATATTCAGTTGAATTGATAAAAATTAAAATCAAAATTAGATTAATTATTTAGAGTACAACATTTATAGAAAACCCACCCAAACAGATCACGCTATACATGGAACGTCTAATCACCCAACTCAGCATAAAATGGCTGCTTTCAACAGTTACATTCATCGATTACTTAAATTTCCTCTTTCTGATGATAATTTTAATACAAAACTCAATACTCTTAAGCAGATTGCTGTCAATAATGGCTATGATCCTAACATTATATACAAACTTCTAAATAGAGCTAAACTAAAAATTGCAGAAAAGCTTGCATATTCATCACAGTCTTTTCAACCTAATGTTTCAGATAACATCAGATATTTCTCCTTCACTTATATTAGCAGCATTTCCAATAAAATATCTAAACTTTTTACTTCTACAATTGATAACATCAAAATCTCCTTTAAATCACATAACACTTTAGGTTCCTTCTTAATCAATACCAAAGATAGGATGAATACACTTGATAAAAGTGGTATTTACAAATTAAAATGTGATGATTATGATGCCTCTTATGTAGGTAGAACCATCAAAAAGTTATCCACTAGAGTCTCTGAACATTTGAAAAGACCAAACTCTTCAAGTTTTGGTCAACACTTAGTATCCAGCAACCACAATTTTAACATCAATTCTGGTTCATCTATCTTACATGACATTAGTAGAAAGAAAAACTATCTTGAGTTGGATTTATTGGAAGATTTGGAGATTACAAGGGAAACAAATGAAAACTCTCACTGTCTTAATACTCAAATTAATTTAAATTGTACTAAATTTAATCCTATATTTAAAAACTTTATTACAGCTCCATCTCGTAGAGGGCCCAGCTCGACTGTTTAGACTTCATGCACTGAGTATTTACATATTAATTTGAAAGTTCTTCCATTGACTGTGGATTCAACTGAACTACTTGGATTATAACCCATTTATATATTTTGCTTTAATTTTGATTTTAATTTTTATCAATTCAACTGAATATTCAGATTTCAGGTTTCAGTTGAAACGACGACTGACAAGTACCTCGTGCAAGTATTCGAGCTTAAGAGACATGTAGTCCCTAAAATAAATTTTAATTTAAAACCAATTCCATTGTCATCGACCTAGACTCTCAACATTATTAAATGTAAAATGTGATATATTTTTAAATCAACACATGGAAGTGTTATAGACACCATATTGTTAGCACCAAATACCAAAGGCACTGAAGATGATCTGTATGTATTGAAAACGTTCTGCCATAATTTTAAATGTTGACGACACTTTTAAAAAGTTTTTAAGTACTTGTATGTTTTTATACCAAAATACACAATTGTGAAGTGTTTTAACTTCTGTGCTTTTTTTAAACGATGGTATACAGCCAATTACGGGATTTTTCCCATTAATTTTGTAAAATAATAATATTTTTCTGACTTTTGTGTTTTATTCAATAATATTCAATATTCAATTTTACGCAATAATGAAAGGCAACAACACCGTAATCATTTTCCACGGTATGCGTAAACATCAACCCCTCTTTTCAAATAAAATGGCCTGGTAGATTTACAAAAGTTTTTATTTATTTATTAATTATCTCTTTATATGGCTCAAACTGTTTTTTTATTAAATGATTTTTTAATAAGAAATAAGAAAAAAAATATTAGAAATATATAGGTAAAATATGAATAGTATATTCAAGAACAGTGGTGGGCCCAACGGACCCGATTTGCCTGGTTACGTAAATAAAATATGTTGCCCGGATAAGACTTAAAGTATAAAATACGCTCTAAAACAAATTATGAAATTTGAGATATTCATCGTTTCTCCCGCCGACTCACTAAGGGGTATTTGATGCTAAAAAGCAGTCATAAGTAGTTTTTCTAAAATTCACCAAATGAGGCAAGAAATTAACGTTTTATTAAGTTCATTAACCACTTCATATAGGGCGCACCCCACTTCCCCCATTTTATCAGCGCTAGCGCCTGGTAATTAGTCAAAACACAGCACTTGTGTGTAATACATGTCTTTGTTGACAGCAATCTCGATTATTTTATACATTTCTCTTTGTTAGTATGTCGCCGTGTGGTGGATTATCAGAAAATTTCTTGCTGAATATGGAAGTTGAAGGTATGTACTTTGTTTTATAATATATTACACTTAATTTCTCCTTAAGTTTCAGCATTTAAACATAATTTCCAATTTACATTTAAATAATGTTGTATTTTGACTAAAATTTTAGAATATTAGTGTTTTTGTTTATGTGTCGCGCTTTGTCGTACTACATTTAAGTTATGGTAATACAGTTTGAATATTTGCCTAACGGAAACAGTAATAAAATCTCACCCCAATGCACCTCATCTTTTTATTTTATTTTTACAGTTACAGTGCAATTAAAAAAAATATATTTTTATAATAAATCTTAATAATTTTTTTTTTCAGATAGAGATTTTTTGAGACAAACTCAACTTAAGCAAAAATTTAAAAATGTCGCAGATGATGATTCAAATATATTTATGAGCTCGATTGTTCCAGTGAGGTTGGTTGTTTTTATTGATGGCAAAGCAATAACAATAAAAATCATTTCGCAGAATTGATGAGATTTTACTTCTTCTTAGGTGAGATTTTACAGACCTATCAGAGCTCGATTTGTCCACAAAACGAAAGATGTTACTAAAGAAGAAATAGAATACATCGAAAATCAGGCAAAATATCTGATAGAGACTAAAAACAGTGCAACATCAGTGAAAATCAGTCACAATATTTTGCTGACAATGGTGGACGGAAAGGTTTGCAACTCCGCAACGGACACTGCATCAACTATGCGATGTTATATATGTGGTCAGACATCAAAAGATTTTAATAAATTAGAAAAAGGTGCCATTAAAAAAGAATCTTTACAGTTTGGGCTCTCAGTACTCCATGCCAGAATACGCTTTTTCAAATTGATATTGCATTTAGCATATAAAGAACAAATACAAAAATGGCAGGCCCGTACACCAGAAGACAAAAAAATTATTAAGGAAACAAAAGCTAAAATTCAGAAATGTTTTAGTGCTGAAATGGGTCTACTTGTTGATATTCCTAAAGCAGGCTATGGAAATAGTAATGATGGAAATACGTCTAGGAGGTTTTTTCAAAACACAGAATGCTCTTCTCGCATCACAGGCATCAACAGAGAAATAATTAACAGATTTAAAGTGATTCTTGAGGTAATATCAAGTGGTCATGAGATGGATCACCAAAAATTTAAAAATTATGTCCAAGATACTGCCAAACTATATGTCAAATTGTACAGCTGGCATCCAATGTCCCCTACAGTTCGTAAAATTCTAATACATGGAGCGCAGGTGATCGAACAGGCAATTCTGCCAATAGGGCAATTGTCCGAGGAGGCCGCTGAAGCACGTAATAAGCATTTTCGAAAATATCGGGTGGACTTTTCACGAAAATTTTCAAGAATTGATTGTAACAGAGATGTTTTAAATATATTACTTCTGACATCTGATCCTTTAATCGGTTGTAGTCGGTCAAAAAATAAGCAGAAAATCTTGCCATTTTCCGATGAAGTAAAGGCAATTTTAATTGCAGCAACACCGAATCCAAACAGTTTGGACGACAATACAGTCGAAGATGATGACGATGAAGAGGATTCTGATATTATCATTGCATCATATATCACTGACTCCGAATAAACATTTGTGTGTTTAAATATCTTCATTATTTTCAACTTTAAAAAAAATTACTTATTTTTGTAAAATTGTACTTATTGTTGTAAAAATACTAAAAAGGTATTTTTTTAGGTATTTTTATTAAAAATTGCAAAATATCAACGAAATATTGTTTTTAATTATATTTTTTGATAATATAGCCCCTAAATAATTATGACCGGTTATTGATTTCAAATACCCCTTAGTTCGATTTTTCATATGCTACTTAAACAAAACTCTTTACGATTCTGCTCTAAGCTTGAACGTTTTTACCAAGAAGTTGCAATATCTCCAAAACATATAGCACCCGTCGTATGCAAATCTATTACTTATTTTTATAGTCTCAGTCAAGCATCAGTTTAACCTATCTACCTACAACTA